GGTATTTTTCGACAGACAATATTTCTCTGTCGACGACAGAATGAAAGAAATGAAATTGTATCGTTTGAAAAATTAAAAGCTCAAAATGAAAAGAGCTGCCGTAAAAAAGAATTTATAATAAACAAGTAAGCGTGTGTTGGTTTTTGATTGAATTCAAAATAAATATTTTCATTGGAATGAACAGCATCCGCTTAAAGTTTCAAAAAGTGTTTTTTGCGAAATTATTGTTTGCGGAGCTCAGCGAACCCAAATGTGACGACGACAACGACGAAGACGACATTAAAAAGCAGTCTGTGATAGCATTCGTTCGAATCTTTTCATATTTACTTTTAATCTGCTTCAAGTGCGCTAGAAATATGTATTTGTTTGTCACTTTTCTCTTTCCATTGCCCACATTCTCTCGCTCGCTCTCTATGTATCTCATTCTTCATTCGACTGACAAGCAACGGAGTATGATCTAGTGGCAATATTGAACATGTTGTTAAAAACTGAACGTCGCTCGCTTTAACAGCATCGTTATGGTGATCATCAAAAATACAAACAGTTTGTGCACTCCGAAAACACGTATGTGTTCATGGGATTGTGTATGAGTGTATCTAATGCAATTTCAACTCTGTTCTCTATTCACCGCTTCAGCGTATGTTGTGTACGCGCGAGTGTATCGTTGATATTCTCATGCCACATCTTATGATATGCCCGCCAGCGACTGATGGAGCTTATTTTTGATACATTTTTAATTTGTTTGGCTTCTAATGCTTCACATGTAATTTACACTTGTGTGTGTCAGTTTGAATAATCCAATGATGAACGCAATAATTTTTCCACTGAAAAAAATATACACGCCATCACACAATATTGCTATATATGCAATCAAAAAACCAAATTATCCCCGTTGACTTTCGGTTGCTTGTTGCGCGGAAATTTGCGTATGTGGGGTGGGGTGCGTGAGAGGGTGAGCAATGTGAAAAATTGAATAAATAAAAATATAAGATACAAAATGATGGAATCATTGTACGAAAATCAAAATGGATCAACTTAACTTCTGCGAGCAGGAAAGTTGAGCGACTGTCAAGATACGCTATACCACATATCAGCATTGAATTCTTCATTCATTTAAATTCAGTGTGTTTGTGCTTGACATTGCCTTTGCCCTGGTGTTTTCGGTTTTTCGCATCGTGTGGGCAAAACCGAGATAAAGAAAAAAGCGAGCGATTTCACGTTTTCCGCTATGCCATCACAAAACCGACATTTTCTTGCGTTTGAATTTCATTTCAGCATTTTACAACACATTGAATACCAAAATAATGCATGCATGATCCCATTTCATCGCTATTCCAACAAACGAGTTTATGATAGTGTTAACGATTCAAATAATATCATCGAGACGTCGCGATTTTTTTTCTTTATACCCTCCATCTCCTGTCTCTTCTTCGCTGTATGTGAAAAAATGTGAAAAAAAAACAACAAATTCGTTTCGAATTCAGCGAAGGGAACGATGATATGATATCAAGTTTGAATCTAAGCAAGATCACCGCCTTAGCGAATGAGCATTGAAGAGTCTTTCAAGTGAATAAGTGTATTAGAGCATTAGCTAGCTCAACTAAGTTATTCTATTATTGCATCTTGCACACGGCATACATCCAATTTTCATTTCGATGGCAGCATTTTTTTACATTGATGTGGTTGTCGTTCGTATGATTTGCTCTTAAAAAGAGTTCAACATTTTCATTCTTCCCCAAACACACTCAGACAACGCGATGGATCTGTTGTTGCTGTGAGTATTTGAGTTCGATAACGGATGCCAGTGAAAATGAACGTAAAAAAAAGATAAAGTGAACCAAGATAAACCCATTGATGTTCTGACCGAGATGAATTTTTATTAAATACGGAACAACAAAAATGAGAAAAATACGTCTTATACATATTATTATTCAGCGTTGCCTGTATTTGTCTGACTTATACAAATATCGCTCTCTCTATCTCTATATATTTTGTGGTAATGTTTGTATAGAGTTTTTATCATGTAGTCGCTTCTTCGAATGTCACTACATAATACATATGTTTTTATTTGCGCAGTTGGACCAAAAATAGATGATACGAGCTTAGGATATCCTGACCACAACGAAAAATGCCTCAAGCAATACAATTGCGATGACAGTTTTGAGTACATATAAATATATATTTTCTGAATATAGTCGACGCTATTTTGCCATTTTTTGTGTTTCCAGAGATGTTTCTTTCAAATATGGTTGCTCTCCGGTTGCCTTGAATATGAAAATAAACCAATCTTCATCATTCATACTTTTATCTATTTTTGGATTTGGGTCGGGGGCAGCCCTTTTTGGATGGCTTATTCATAGGAATAGTCAGAATTTCGAAATGATTTTTATTGACAACTTTTTTGGTAGTTGGCTTTACATTATTACAATCAAAACGATGATTTTCATTTCATTGGAACTCGCTCATATAATACGCTATTATGCTTATTTTGGTCGGTTTACTTAATCTGAGTAATTCAATTAGATTGAATTACATGTTATTAACAACACTGTTGGGGTTTTGCCTACTCACATTCTCGCATCTAATCGTTGTTTACATTGCCGCCTGCTACTATGTGGTAAATATGATGGATGTGGGAGATTAAACCCAAACATTTATCGTTCTTATATCTCTCTGATGTCTGACATAATTGTCGATGCTTTTGCTCGGATTATTTTTCCATTTCCTCCAAATCTCGCCGCTCCTTATAAGGCTGGATTTCGGCTCAGCTTGATCTATTTATATGAAATCGAAAAACGAAATATTTTGAATATTTTGTTTATCATCCGGTTCGTTCCATAAAAAAACAAATCATCGATTCCATGCATAAATCTGGCATAAAGTATCAAATTTTATGAAAAATTCAATTTAAGAAAAAGATCCATGTACTATTCGCCTCGCTTGGATGTTTCAATTACTTTTGTCGAAAAAGAATGACACAAAGGACAAAATGAAATATGACATGAAATTTGTGCCGCACAACAGTGTAACAGCATTGCTAGAAACTCCCCATGAAATTTCTTTTCCCATTGCTGAATGGAACATGAGAAAGGTGGAATGCATAGAGTTTAGAAATTAAAAAAAAACATACAAAAAATGTCTTAAACAGACAAAAATTATGTGAATGACATTTTTCTCGTAAGATTTTTTTATTCAGCATCCAAGTGAATTCATTTAAAATGTCGACGTTGGCAAAGGCACAACGACATCGTATATACAAAACATCATCAACTACAATTTATGAATCTCATTACAAGTCAGTGTGCTTGTGGCCGGTTTTTTTGTTAACTCTACGCTTTGCATATATCTATCCTTTTATTATTACGACCGAAGTGTAGTGTGCTGTGTGTGTATAATCCTCATTATATAGCGTTTATACAGATATTCGCATTTTTGTTGTAATGAAAATGGATGGAGTGATCAGAATCTAGCATGGTGCTTCATATCGTTTGTATGCTGCGAGATGAATGTAGACCAATTTATTGCGCAATATTTGACTTTATGCTGAGCATCACACAGTTTCATTCGTTTAGCCCCTTGCCTCTTCTACGCTCCGTTTCTCTCTATACCACGGAATTTTGCTTTGCAATCTCTCTACCGCTGCCACCATCGCCAATAGCACCGCATTCAAAGCAAAAGCTTTTGATTAAACAACATCTGCTTTAGTTATTCGGAAAAATAAATCTTTCGTACAAATAATATTCTGCGGCATGAGCGTATAACGGCATGAGCGTATAACGGCATGGCATTGCTAGTGCTGCCAGTGATGAAATTTTGCATCCAACCCACACACACATACAAAAAAAGTACATGAACACTATTGCAACTCACATAACTTCAATAAAGAGAAAAACGCAAACACAACATTCAAATATGCATATCCACTTTTTCGTTAAAGTTAAATTGTTTAGTTTCGACGCAGTTTAACTATTTTTTTTATTTATCAAAAAAGTCGCCTTCAATTCGGAAAATAAAAGAAAATAAAACACTTTGATAGCAAAATGTAGCGCAATGAAGGCAAAAATACGATCAGTAAATGCTTTATTAGTTGGCATGAAGTTGGATTTTTCGGACTATGCAAAGTATTTCAAGTATGCTGTTTTCGTGGTTTTAACTCACCAACACGCACACACACACCCTTTCAAGCCGAATGAATCCAATTTCAGTGTATCCCATTTAAAGTTTCCGTATGATTTAACGATTTTCATCATGTTTTTAATCACTTGACTAAATACGATGGAGGCGACAACAAACGGAAATGGCTCAATGATTTATGTGCCGGAAACGAGAGCACATTTTGGTGTTGATTCAATGGGAGTTTTCCCTTACACCGCCACTTGACACTTTAACTCAATTTCGAAAATTGCATAAATTTGTCGCATTGAATGGAAATGAATCGGTGTAGTTTCTTCGTTCAGGTCAACAAAATGTTCTAATACCTACAGATATCTTCGGTCGGTAATTGCAAAACTTATAGAGAAAAGAATAAATCTCTCTCAAGTAAGTTACGAGAAAAGTTCAAAAGTGTGTGGGGGCGTGTATGTGAAGATATTAGAATTGGTAAAATTGCACTCGACCTCTCTACGAGTGCAGTGGTTAGGAGTTTAATTTGACAAATGGATTTCAATTGTGAAAATTAGTTCCAACTATTTTCCACAAAGTTTGCTGTAAAAATTGATGAAATCTCAAAGTTTTGTCATTTACTTATAAAAATTCATTGCCTGAGTGATACTCAGAGTGAAATGAGTCTTCCTTTACAGCTTCAATCTCATTGCAATCTAATTTGAATGTAAAAAATAGCTATTTCGTTCCAATTTTGAAAATTCGCTGTTTTTTTCTTTCCATCGCATTAAATATGAGCGTCAATATGAGATTCTCTTAAGTTATTCATGAGAAATCTCAAAACGATTTGTTCTAATTTCGCGTTTATTGTCATTTTTCGTTTTTTTTCATGTTTGCAGATTTGTCGCAACAAGCAATCCAGAGAGAAGCGTCATTAGCAAGCATCGCTCTTGAAGGCGTTAACAAACACACTTTGGATGTTGACTGTTCGATGTGGAGGTAAGAATGAATGAATGCAAAAAAAGCGAGAAAGAATAAAAACAAATATTCAAATTACTTGATGTTCATAGCACGTATTTTGTTGCCTAAGGCAATGTCATAAGAATCAACATAAAAATTGTTCAGAGTTATTATTGTTTCTTTTTTATTCTTTTGTGTTCATTTCGTTTGCGTTCACGTTCACAAGAGTAACGAATGCTTAAATCATGAACAAATAAAACAAGCAGCAAATGTTGTAATTTTGCCTCAAAATGCTAGTCCAAAGAGACTCATATAAATATAATTATGAGCACAATAAAAGAAGATCAACTTTTCAATGCTGCTCGTTTCGATTGTTAATAATGTAGAAAAAGTACATAAAAAGAGCGTTTTTGTGATTAGATGATATTTCGGTTCTGTTCTTCTTTATAGGTCTTGCAATTTGGTTCAAGAAACCATGTTGATGATGATGAAGATGATACCAATGATGAACGATATTGCTACAATTCACGGAGGAAAATTAAATTTTATGGGAATTCAATAGAGAAAGAGAGAAGCGAAAGATAGCACCAAGGAGACGAACAACGTACGAACGAAAAGTTGCGTTCACTTTTTATGGATAGAATTTATGAAGAAGAAAGAGAGATATCGTCGTCGTTATTCGGTTTTAAAAAAAATACTGCATTCGAAAGCAGAAAAGATTCGAATGTGAAACATTAAGTGTGGAAATACAATCTGTATAAAATATGCAAAAGGAGCTCAAAAGCAGCGGCCAAAGACGATAAAGTACGCAACCACAACGGCAACATCATCGAAAACAGTGAGATTGAGCGAGAAACAAAATTCGAAAGTTATACGCAGCAAAAGCAATTGCCATAATGAATAAATAAATTCACAAACGACTCTTTTATGATTGGCGATTTAGAGAAGAATAGAAAAAAAGAAAACTGCTGGAAAAAGTTATCGCTTCAACGTCAATTGAGATTATCGTTCAAATAATAGCACTGCAACACGCAGAAAATCAAGCATCGATTGTCTCTTTGCATTTTTTCTCACTCTTCGTTCATTTCAATATTCGATATTTGTGATTTAAAACATTTATTCTCAAACTTGTCGTTCACAGACAAAATGAAACGACAAAAGTTAAAAGTTTTTAATAGTAACCATCACAGTGGCACAATGAATTGTGTCAGCGTGAACAAATTGTTCACAGTTCTGTTCAATCGACGAGCTATACTGGGAATTGCATTGTTATCGACATTACTGCCACTGAATCAAGCAGCACCAACGGCAACACTGTCAAGCTATACAAATGGCATCGAAATAGAAACCACATCACAATCATCGTCACCAGTAATGCCACCAACAACAACAAAATTCATATTGAATGGAACATTTCAAATGGATAAAATAAATGATAAACTTGTTTCGCCTCTCGTTGACAACAGTGCTAGCAGTACTATGGAAGCGGCAACGGCAACAACGCCAACGACGATTGAAAAAACGCCAACAAATGACAAAGCCGCGTCGATTGAATATAATCATAATGTTGCTGCAACAACTATAAACAGTGATTCAGTGAGGGTGACGACGACATTTGCCGTTAGTTCATCGAATAATTATCTTGATAAAAACAATGATTCCATTTTGCCGATAAATATTTTGAAAACGGATTCACAAAGACCAGACCCAACGACTATCGATGATAAATATATAAATGGTGAAAGTACCGTCGTTTTATCAACATCAACAACGACAACCGAATCGTCGACGGGCCAAAATGAAGATCTCGTGACAACGACCACATTCATTCCGAATCGATATAGTTCAGCAAATGATTTATCAGATTCGATTCGCTCGGAGGGTAATAAAAATCCGACGCAAGAAACCATTTTCACCACAGAGAATTCGGTGCAGACACCAAAATCAACATTATCATCGATTTTTCCCGATTCGATAACGTTGAGTTCGAAGTCATCGACAGGCTATGGTAGCGGTGGCAGTGATGTTACAACACAAACATCCAAAACAGCATCTTCATTAACTGAAATTGATGATGAACTGTCATTCAATGTAAATGTAGAAAAGCATTTCAATGGTCAAGAAAATGTGCAATCGGAAACAGGCAATCCGTTATCGACAGCAGCCAACATCCAAACTAATGACAATGCCAAAGATGGGACTCATGAAAATAGCAAATCATTTGAAACGGCCATCAATTCCGAATTGGGTCAAAGCACGGTAACAACAAAACCAACTTCGTTGAATAAAAGCGCATCCACAACAGTCAGCAGCGGCAACGGCATCGCGACGTCAAAGAATGTTGGAAAAATCGCCAAAGTTTTCGATGAAGAAAAATTGAGCAGTAAAAAAGCGAAGCATGATAGCATTGGTAATAACAATAAAAAATACAATAACAAGAATAATAAAGACAAATCGAAAAAGAAGGCGAACGAAGAAGGTGGCGTCAACGATCCGAATGGAAAACTAAACGATAATTTATTGATGGAAGCGATTTCATCTACGCAAGAGCCACCACCACCATCACCGCCAGAACCAATGGCATCTTCATTTGCAACGGATGTGCGCTCAGCTGTTTTTCAGCAAACGACCACCATTAGTTCAATAGAATCTCATTCCAATGATGGCCATACTTTCGTTGATAAAGTGCCGAATTCAAAAGCATTTAATGAAATTCGCACCGAATCCGTGATTAATGCCGATGTGACAAATTTCACACCGACCACCATTGTTGCAACCGATACTCACATTTCATCCACGTTAAATGTTCAGGATGTCGTTTCCAGTACGACAACAATCACACCGACGACCACAAGCGAAACTTCGACAAAAACTGAATTCGTGCAAGTCGAAAGCACCGTTCAAAAACATGATACTGTTGATCAAACAATAACATCAACTACATTCAAACCAGAAACACCACAAACAAAAGAACCAATAAGCGATGCCACTTTGTTGAACGAAAAACCAATGACAACCGAAAAAACGACTACAGTTGCCACAGTTGAGGTGACCACCGAACACAATGACAACAATTCATACAAACATTCAAACGTAAACGTCGACGGCATGGAAATGAATAAAACTGATAATCAATTTGAGGAAAATAATAGAAAAACCAGCCAAAAACCAAAAATCGGTTCGCCCAGCATTTTGGATTATGATAAATCGAGTGAAGAAATTTTTGATATAGTTCGAGAAACTTCAACACCAAAAACATCGGAAACATCGTTCATATTGGCAGAAAAACCACGATCACACAATACTGCATCAAATAATGATGAGTTTTTCTTGCCAGCTGATGATTTGGATACGGATTCTTCGGTTCGTTCGACATTCGCATCATCGTCGGCCATTACAACATCCGCAACAACAACAACCATTCAAAGTACAATTCCAATAAATACGGAATCGGCCATTGTGCGACCGAACACAGATGGTTTGGGCCCAACAATTACAATGCCAATACCAATTGTAACGTCAGACACAAAGCAACAAACAACCGATATAAATAAGGCTTCAACCATATCACGTGACTCGGATACGATTTTCTATATATCAAATACAGAAGTAAAAGTAGTTGAATCATCGGTGCCCACCCCAAACTCAAAGCAAGAGAATCAGTTTTTTCCTGCCCTATTTGAAGAAGATGTTATTATCGATTTTCCTGGTAAAAATTCTACTGGCTGGAATAGTGGGCTAGATGGTCCGGGCGACAAATATGAAGAGGATATTATTTTATCGCCCATGAAAAGTAATTTCGATCCGACAAAATTGAATGATGAAAATCTAAGTATTAGCTATGTTGGCGAATCGTTTATTGATATCAAAGAGGCGACAAGTGATGATACAAATGTTGGCAGCGATTCAAATGCTCAAAGTAATGATATTTCATCGGAAAGTAAGGAAAATGGTCGGTCGTTTGGTGAGAATGGAATTTCATCAAATGTGATTATTGAACCGGTTATAATCCCGGACATACAACAACCAATCGGTGTGCCAATCATCGCTGAGCTGCCGTCACAAATCAACATTCGCGATTTGGATTACAAAAACGACGGAAACATTCAGTTGAATAATAGTGGTAATAGTATTTCATCACAATTTCTAACGCATCACGGTGATAATTTGCAAAAAGCCCATGAGCTTACGGCTGAACTACCAAAAACCGATTCCGAAGAAGCCACCGCTCTAATCGATGACGACAAACTTGATTTGGCCAAAAATGAAACACAGAAAACAAATACCACCAGCGCTGCCGAAGCAATAACCAACGTGACTGCATTCACTATATTGGACGACGATCCAGAAACGAGTAAGTCGCTTTCAAAAGATAACTTTTTAGATTTAACGCTGCTTTATTTTTCGATTTTAAGTGAATTAGCTATTTATTTCGATGTACTATATATGCGATTCGTTTTGATTTTACTTTATTCACCTTTAAAAGCATTGCTTTGCTTTCAATCTTAATTGGCCCTTTGGTTGCACTTATTGCCGTTTCTTTTCTTACTTCAAACCCCATTTACTGAATGCTTTCGATTGACTATAAAAATGTCAAATATTCGTACTGGTTCATTGGATCTTTTTTTATTTCGGCTGCCAGAGAGAAAGAAAGAGAAAAAAACGGTGAAGAAAATCGCTTTATCGAGGAACTCAAATCCCTTTGCACTCTCGAAACTCAAATGATAACAAATCACACTATCGAATGTGTGTAATTTAGCACACATACTCTCTTTTGCTCTCTCTCTCTCTCTCTCTCTCTCTCTCTCTCTCTCTCTCTCGTCCTGCTTACAAAACAAATCGAATGTGGCAACTTACGTACGTCGTTTTTCAGCTCTCTGTACATATCGAAAGAAACACTTTATTTTCGCTTTCGACCCCTTTTTTCTCTCTCATTCGTGAAAGAATAACGAACGGAGATTTGCGCCCATGCTGTACAGTAATTCGGTTCATTGAAAATAAATTGAAGAACTTTTCGCTTGGGCGTGTTTTTTTCCCATCCTCTCTCCATCTTTCTTTCGTTTCAGTACTTTTTCTCACTCCTCTCTCTCTCTCCATATATCTTTTTGTGTTTTTTTTTCTTTTCGCTTGCATTTTCTTTTGTTTGATGGCAGTCTGTCTGGTTGCATTTTACCATTTTTCTTTCGTTGTGATGCCATTGTGTAATAGATCGACTAGGCAAACCGCACCGACATGCTCTCACACAATCAATTTCATTTACCCCCGCACACATATTCCAAGCGCAATTTCAGTATGGTGCTTTCATCTCATTTGCTCGATGTGTTGTAAGTAAAACATTCCATTTTAAAAACACACACACACTACATTCCAGCATGCATTGGACGATCGTAGCGGAACAACTCTGTTTGTCTATCGTTACGAAACAGAACATTGTCGCTTTTAATGCAAGCCATAACGATGGCATTTTAAAATATATGGTAAATGTAGGGAACGACCAAATGTCGTTTGTGTTACGATCACTAGAGAAAATGCAAAGACTTGACAAGCATCTCGTACACCATGCAAGACAACAACATCGACATAAACATTCGCATTGGCTGGCAATACGATAACGATACGAATCAAGTTTATACCATTTCCTGTTATTAGAAAATAAAACATTCACCGACACACTCATACATACACACACACCATCTGTAATCGAGAGCGAACATTTTACAATTCTCTTTCACTACCATTTTACGCCGAACTTTATAAAACATGCTCCCTTTGTTCCGTACAAACCGAATTTTTATTTGAACCATAGTTTGTTTGTTCCTCTATGTAATTGTATATGTACTGAGCGTAGTAGCCTTTTTTGCTACATCTTTACTTGCTCAAAAACTCTTACTTGCTCAAAAACTCTTATTATACATATGCAGAAATCTGGAAACGGAATAGAATTTATGAAAAGCGACGACTCGAACCGAATAGAATAGAACAAAAAAAAAAGATAATCAAAACTAAAACGGGAACATTTTTACTGTGATAGAAAAAACATTTCATAATAATAAAAATGAATGCTTACAATTTCGCCATTCAACGGAACAAATAGACAACGAAAAGTACACAATTCATTCTTTGTCTGTGTTTGTGTATTACAACAGTTGTGTATGAGCGGAGAGAGAGAGAGAGAGAGAGAGAGAGAGGGAGAGAGACAGATACCATATGACTTCATGGCAAACATAAAGTTTTACTCTTTCGTAACTCAAACAGAATCAGCCTTTTTCTTTTGAAAGCAACATATGCATTTATGAACACACACACACACACACAGAGAGAGAGAGAGAGAGAGAGAGAGAGAGAAAGAAACAATTGGCATTTCAAAAATGACGAACAATATGGAGACCAACAAAAAAAGCAGACACGAAAAATGGTCGCATATGACAATAACAGGAGCATCAGCAGAGGCGGTATCTTTGAAAATGCAAAATAAAAATAAATATAATGATGCACGCATGGTGTACACAAAAAGCCATCGCATCAGAACAAAAAGACAATTGAGGCTAAGCTTCAAATGCACACACACATGAAGAAGATAAAGTGAACGCGAGAAAAGCGAGAAAAAAACCGCACGCGACGATATTCACGCACATGAAAAACTACAAAATAATAGAAACAATAATTCAAAATAAAAATGTCGGTTTGGCATGTGTATTCACCGAAAATATGTGTTTGTTTCTGTTCCATTTGCTGTCATTGTGTGCCCTGTTTTATGGCAATTTTGCTCTTGCCATTGTTTTATTCTCCCATTCTCTTTGTCCCTGCCATCCCTTCCGAATTCCTTCATTCATCTTTTCAGATAGCAAATGCTTGTCGTCCCAAACTTTTATGCATGTTTGCCTTTTTTTCTCTCTATTTTTATTTTGTCATGGTCTTGTTTGCGGTTTTGTTTCGTTGTGATATGCGTGAGCCATTTCTTTGAAATATTTCCTTGGTTTTTTTCTCCTGTTCGAGGGAGCCGCCGAATAAACGAAGCGGAAAAAGTGCCACAACGACGACAACAATGACGACGACACAGAAAAAAAACGAGAAAAATGACTTAATGCGAAAATCTATTTGAATCGAAAATATAAGGCGGTGCAGGGAGAGAGAGAGAGAGAGAGAGAGGGAGAGCAAAACAAAGCAACCACAACATAAAAATACATCACCAAAAATGGTGCTCCGTTTCCTTTTTTCCACGAAAAATGCCCAAAACATGTCACATTAAGTTACATATTTTACTTCATTGCTTGTCAAATCATGGCACTTGAGAAATAATACGAAGAAGAATATAATACTGAACATTGAAGAAGAAACGTAGCGAAAAGAACTATTGTATGCGATGGATGGATGGACCAAGATGATGGTGATGGAGATGATGATGATGACGATGATGATGATGGAAAGGACGACAAGAAAATGTAGTGGGAAATGAAACCTCCATGGAATCACTACTATCCAATGAGCTTAGCACTAAAAAGAAGCTTTTGTTTGTTTGCTCAGTTGAATTCGGTTCATTTTTTTCCGTCTTCACTCTTGCCGTATCTTTGGCTATCTTTTAAAACTTATTACGACTGCTTTTGTCATTCATTATATCCTACATTTTTGTCTTTCATTTTGTAGTATTTTTGTCTTCGGATTTTCAGTGTTTTTTTTTTGTCTTCATTCGCTCAAATCTCCAGCTTATATATTTAATTATATTATCTTTAACTTTTCTCTTTCGCTTCTGATCAATGTGTTACAATGTATTTTCTCTATTTTCAGACTGGAATGATATTCAGACCATAATTATGATCGCTGTATTGACTATTGTTCCGGCGATTGCATGTTTGATTCTCATCTGCGCAATTCGGTAAGTTTGCTTTTGTTCGAATTCATTCCATTGAATACAAACTCTGAATAGAATTTAAATTGAATTTCTTTGAAAATTAATAGTCTTTCATCTGTGGAAAATTACGTAAAATCTCATTGTTCTCAATAAATATATCAAAATAATATTAATTTATGATGGTTTCGAAAAGTTAGACATGAGACTGTTAATTGCTATTGAATTTATTGAATTTCACCATGTAAACACAATTTCGCATAAAAACGATGTGTTTTGTACGTTTATTTACCAGCCATCTACCCATTGACTTTTAATCGAAACGACTGAAATTGCGTAATATATACAGTAAATGGTTGATTATAATTTAAAATTAAACAAAAACCACAGAAATGTGGTTTGTCGATGTTCATTTTCATGCCATAGGTCATTTCCAATTTTACATTCGGTAAACATATTACAAAAACATAATAAATTTTAACCAATTTCATATTTTGAAATGGCGAGTGTATTTATTGCCGCCAGCCATGTTATAATTCATATTTTAACTTTGACAAATAAACATGCGAACATCGAACCTACAAATAGGCGCATTCGACGCGATTATAATTAGTGCTTTTTGATGAGTTCGTCGCCAGCACCACCACCATCACCAGCAACAGTACCGTCACTTTTTCGGTGTGGTTAGCATGCTATCAAAGTAGTTGTTGTTGGTTTGTTTTGACTGATGACAGAATCAAATATGAAATGTTTTATTTTGTTGGTTTCTTTGATAAAAATAAACATATTGCCATCCCAACGCATCGAAATGATTAATTAACTTTTGGTCTGGACCGAAAACTTTTTTGCTTCGGCCCACACATTTAGCTGATGGGTCTAGTTTTTTTTCAGTATTTAATTCATCCCGACTATAACTCATACGAATCAATATGGACGAATCAATTTCATTTTAAAAACAAGCGACACAATAGGCAGAATACTCCTGAATAGATACAGTTTCCGTAAGCAATAAATTATTTGAGTGAAGTTATTGCAATGGCATCCTTCGTTCTCTCACTCCCATCCAAACTCACTTTCTAATCCAATGAAAAAGTTTAATGGCAAATTTTACATAATTCATCATAAATTGAGAGTGTGCGAGTTTGAAAAACATGTTAAAATACATCGATACGCCGAATAAGTTTAAGAGCATGATGGTGAAATTGTCTATTTTATGACATTCCATTTATTTGTTATGAATTGCACGATATTTGTCATCAGCACACCAAAATGGAATCGATACACAATGTGTGTGCGACGCGCTGACTTGGCATTCGTGGAAATACGCCAATTCGTGTACAGTTATAATAATAATATATGTTTTTGATGTAATACGCTGTGAATATGCTGAACGGAATAAAATTGTGTTGCTGAGTTGTTGTATCAATGAACAAAATATAGGTGTGAGATCCCTCTGCTTCGAACCGTGGATAATTGACGGCAACGGGAAAGAATTGGAGTTATATGAAAAAAAAAATCATATTGAATTTTTCCTGAACAAATACGCTCGAGAGATACAGAAATACATATATATAAAACCAGATTGAATCGTGATGCCGAAGCACTATTTCGAACCTTTATTGCATACCGATTTCAATATATTATCAAATATTGTTTTACACTATTATTTTTCGTTTACGATGTCCCGTGCCACACATATGCACATTGAAATGCAAATTTTGTTCCATCGTTTTCAAGACGGGTGACGAAATTGTTGAGATTGGTTTGCTCGAGTTGTGGCACACACTTGTGCGCGCTCGATACAATCACAAAACACCGTCTCCATCTCCAATCGATTTGAACTACTTGGGAATTTATCAAATAAAATTGAAAAATCTTCTTTTGCCAACGAAATAAGATTGGATTCACACGCTCGACGCTATTTTTGCCACTCACAAAACTAAAATCTGTGGAAGAAATTCATTTTTCATATAAGAAACAAGAGAAAAAGAGAGAGGAAGAAAAAAGCAACACGAAAATACCAAACGATGTTCTTTCTGAGCTGTAGAAAATTTTCTCATTTATTTCGCACCGAAGCATGTTTTACAAAAAAAGAGAATCTCGTTCTCTCTCCTTTTTTTCTTTTCGTGTTTTATTTCATGTTCATGGCATCGTCTGCGATATTATTAAAAAATGTTTTTCTTTTTCGGCGTTCCAGCGCAAAATTGCCCGACATTTCAAAAGAAATAAGATATTTCTTTCCATGAATGGAAATCAAACAAAAGAAATCAAAAGTGAAAATTTTTGCAACACCAATCGTTAATAATGCCAACAATAAAAATGATAAATACTCATTTTCTCTCTTGCCCTCCCTCTCCCTCTCCTCTTTTCTCTCTCTCTCTCTTTCACGTGCTATCTCTCTACCTCTATTACCCTGCGCTTGAACGTGTTCAACGAAAATTCAAAAGGAAAATATTTAAATGATGCTCGAAAATCAGCAGTATTTTTCGACAGAGAAGCTTTAGCAAAGTACTTGTGATCCTCCTTTTCGTTGTTTACTATCGAAACGAATAAAAGAAAAGAGATTGTGTCAAAAATGGTGGAAAAAAGTTGAAGAGAAAAATATATGCCAAAAAAACTGCGATTGAAGCCGGTAGTAAACTTACGGATGTTGTGAAAAGATGTAAAAAAAAGAAGAGTGATGTTGAACGTGTTGTCGTTTACAGAGAATTCGCCATTACGCATTTACGTACATAAACATTTATCTATATTTGTCAATCTGAGACGTATAAAAGTGTCTTTAAAATTGAGGGAAAGCTGTCAACAAGCAGACAACCACCACCATCATCATCATCATCGCTAGAATATTTATGTGGAATATACTTTTTATATCATAAATATGCCTCAATATAACTATACATATTTATCATCGTCTGCCTGCTTGATTGCACTTTTTACAAGGGGCTGAGAAAAAAGAAGAAAAATTCATCTTTTCAATTTTTCAGTTCTTCTCTTCACATTGACAGCATTTACTTCCTTCCACTCGCTGATCATTCGTTGATATCTGTTGTAGAAATATTACCATTCCTTATAAATATCCAGGGCTTTTTGTGAGACATTTTTATTGTTACATTTTCCATGGCACCCGAAAAATGATGCATAACAAGTGATTCGATTAACAACAATCGCTTTCATTTCGCAAAAGTATTGGTGACGAACATCGGCTTGAAATGGTCCAATCAACTCAAGCATATTGATTTATTTGAAAAGTTTATTTAATTGCAGCTCATTGAAAGATTACAAACATTCAAGATTGAAATCTTGAGAATTTTTTTTATGTTTGCTCAATTTGAAATGCCGTGCACTTCCTTATTGTAAAGGACAATTCAGAGTGATAAAAAGAGACCGAAGGAAGGGATGAGAAGAGAAATAGAGAAAACTGTTAACCTTTTGAATAAACGATACCCAATGATTTAGCATTTCAATTTGTAAATGTTGAAAATTCAAAAACACACCATTCTCTGCGGCAATCGTTTTAAAGTGTTTCGCTCTCGAAAAACAATGCACCCAAAATTGACTAAATATGAATTTAAGATCAGTGAACTGTAAACAAATTGTACTAACGTATGCACAGTGCACAGATAGATATTACAAGCACAGGAGATGGATAGTAAATAAAGAGAAAACTATAGTAGAAAAGGAAGAAATTCATTGGTGGCCTGAAGCGAGCACACATACTTTTGAGATAACCTCAGAAACTGGTAAATATTTACACTTGACTGTGTTGAATGGACAAGTTTGAAAATTAAATGAAAGATTGGTTCCATAGAGCTCCATTGCTCGGACATCGAATATCCTTAACCGGATGGAGATGTGATTGATAACCGGTCTGGCACACACACAAGCACTATCGGCTTGATGTCCAAAATTCTATCTCTCTCCGTGTCTACCCTTTTTCATTTTCTCCGGCATTGTGCTGATGGTTGGTGCGTTCGTTAGTTTTGTAAACATATACTTTGTACGTGCGTTTATGCGCCGCTTAAGCACAAAGCGTTTTTATATTGAAATTTAAATTGAACAACATTGTTATCAAAGGAAAATTATCACTCTGACGTGCACTGACTCGAAAAACACTTTTCATTCGATCCGGGAACCGAATGGAAAATAGTTGATGATAAAGCCTGAACGAAGAAACAAATAAAGTTATTTCCAATACTTTGTCTTCAAAGGTCCTTCCTCTCTCTCTTTCTTTCTCTTTCCCTCTCGCTGGCAAATACAATGTAACACCACACACAAAATACAACGCAGAATAAGAGAAGGAAAGAGAGTAATATGCACACTATTCGCTTTTGTGTTTGTGTTACTTGTTCGAACTTGTAAATAATCAACGTAAAAGCAATGAGAATTGAACGTGTGGCCCGTGGAAGTTTTTCCTGCTTTTAACACGATAGCAAGCACGACAACATAACGAAATTGGCCGCTGCTTTTAGACGGTGGTTTTTGACTTTCAGCACTATTATTGGATTTTGATACGTGCCGAAATGAAATCCAGGACAACACCAAACGATAACATCCAACTTTTCCATCCAAAAATATTCGATTACAGTTTGTTATGTTTACGATCGACGAAATACACTGTTTACATTTTAATGGAATCGTTCTTCGTTCTATTTCCCTCTCTCTTTCTCACTTTCGCCCGCTTTCTGTATAAGTTGTGACATAAATCAATGTGAACAAATGCGATTTTCCATATTTCAAACGAGTCATTTCCATCATTCCCTACAATTGGGTGTGTGCTGCAATATGAATAAGCATTTTATTTACTGATAAAGAGCTCAATTCCGTTTACTTCTTTAATTACAACAGCAACAAAAAAAACTAAAACAACGAACACATTTCATGATAAGAGTAGAAAATATGCCAAATTTACTCGCTTTTAAAAAAAATTGTATCGAATTTTTGAAAGATTTTGCTCAAGCATTTTTCAACGATGAACATTCTCTCATTGGCATGACTATGACATGTACGTGAAAAAAAAATTCTCGATA